CATGAAAGGCATCTGTAGGTAAAATTGGCTCATTCTAAGATAACACAAACATAACACAACTATTCCTATATACAGGTGATTATACACTAATGATAACATACCTGTGAATATTATATTCCATTTCTGCCAATAGATCCTCCGCAATGTTACACACTGGACCGTTAAAGGGAATTAATTCCTTTGTTTGGGAGGGTTGGCTGACATCTAACTGTGATTTAACTATATTTCATGTTATAATGAATACATGTGCAGATGTGTTTAAATCTGTTTTATGTACCACAATATACCTACCTACATCAACTATTGGCAGTCTGAATACATACTTGAAACAACACTTGAAAGGAGAAATCCACCCTCACATGCTCTATTTTTATCATCTTGTCAGTAACTATTAGAGTTGAACTTTGTGATTGACTCACTGAAGTTCCTCCATTATCCCAGAATGCCTTTCAGCAGCTTCAAAAGAACAGGAACAACAGTCACAGCAGACAGAGCAAGAATTTCTCCAGTTGACAAGAAGAGAAAGTTACAGCAATTTGTAAACAGTCTGGTCTGCCGAGGCCAATCTCATGTGTATCTATTTGTCTTCCATGATAAATTCTGCTGTGTGGGATTGTTGTACACAAGTTTAAAATGTTGAGTCTATAAAAAAGTAGTTGCTCTTTGATTACAGGGGATTGATAGCAAACATTATGGTTACTGCTGATGTCGCTGCACACCACTAATCCATGAAAATATGAGGGGGGGGGGTATTGGACGACTAGAATAAAATGTCATTGGCCTGTACCATTTAATGACACACACAGTCATACTGTGTTAACATGGATCAGTTTGAACTTAGATGATGTGGGCTTACGGGACATGAACGCATCACCACCTGCAGGAGCTCCTGAAAGGTGATTATTTCAAATCTAGTGTGCACAAGTTATTAGCTTGCTATGATCGTGTTTGTACAGTTATTTGTGACAGAAAGGTACAGATGTTGTCTGCACAAGAAAATAACCTGTGCAAGTTATGACCGTTTACACACACCATTAAGTATCATCTTTAGGGACTTTGTGGCCAGGGCCATCCTATTCTATTCTAAACGTTGATTTTAATTGTAATTGATGATCTACTCTTTCACATGTTGCATATTTTTGAAACCGACAGGAATTAAAGTGGTTGTTTACATTAATGTTTAATAAAATTGATAATGGGTTTGCTAGATTTAGGTGAGAAAATGAGCAAGCATTTACCAGTCAATAATACAGGCCGAGGGGGGCCCCAAATCAAATTCTGGCCCATAGGCAGTAAAAAATCACACACATCACAAAGGAACACGAGAATCAAGTTTAGAAATAAAAATACAATTAATATCATCCATTTGGCTGCCTATCAAAATCTTTCTCTCTCACGCACACGTACATGCGCGTGCGTC